CTTTCTACAAACATCCAGTGAACATTTTTAAGTACTTGCCTTTATGGGGTTTATGTTTTAGAGGAGGTCTGAACTGTAAGCAACAAAAACAAATAATAATAAAGTCTTGCTATCATGAAGAAAATACATAGGCTGGTTGGGAAGGTGGACAGAGAGGGATGTTAAGGCAGAGTGAGTGGTCAAGAAGGACATTATTTGAAGAGGTGGCATTTGAATAGAGATTAGAATGACTGAAGCATATTTTAAGAAATGGAAGTATCTGGGTAAGTCCTTTGAAACAAGAGCAAATCCAAAGCATTTGAGTAATAGAAAAAAAGTCAGCATGAGAATAGGCAGGGGAGTGGTGGGATCCAATATTGAAGGTGGTCTGGGTTCCTGCCACATAGAGCTTTCTAGGCTGGCCAAGGAGTCTGGACTTTCCCCAAGTACATTCAGAAGACATGGGAGGATTCCAAGAAGAGAAGCAATATGATCTGATATATATTTTTGATTTATGTCACTCTAGCTGTGCTGTAAAGAATAGAGGCAAGAGAGAAAGTAGGAAAAGCAACTAGAAAACTACTGAACCCAGAAGATGGTGTGTGTGTTAGGGTGGTTGCACTGACCTGAAATTCCTCACGGACTGGATATAAGATCTGAGGGAAAGGGAAGAGTCAGGGACGTTTACATGCTTTTTGGCTTGAACACCCGGAGGATGGTGATGGTATTTCATTTGAAAGAGAAGGCGTGAAGAACCCAGTTGTGTCACTTATCATTTCCTTTTGTGCTTATACAGCCTCAACTTCACAAACCATAATTTTACTTCCTCTGCGACATCTTTATTTTCCTTCCCTACTGCCCTTTAGTCCGTCTTATCCAAAAGAATCTCCTCTACACGCACCCAGTAGTCAATCTGCTGCAATCTGGTTAATATCCCACACCCCAATAAATTCCTCCTTGCCAGCCACAACAATGACCTCCTTGTTGCTAAATCCAAGGACTTTTCATTTTTCTTGACCTTTCCTTCGCATTTAATTCTGTTGACATTTCCCCCTTTGGCTTCTGGGAAGTGACTTGTTCCTAATACTCCTACCTCTCTGCATGTCCTTCCCGTATATCTCCGTTTCCTCATGTTTTAAATGTTTCCTCACTGTTCAGATATGTTCAGAGGGTTCCTCAGTAGGTCCTCTCTTTCTCTCCTACTCTGTTCCTTTTCTTGAAGCTCCCATCTACCTCCATGCTTATTCTGATGACACCAGCAAGAGCTCTTTCCTGAGTTCCAGACCCCTGGCTTAGTACAAAATGGACAGCTTCACCATGGTATCCTAAGATCATCAAACTCAGCGTGTTTAAAACTAAACTACTCACCTTCTCTTCTCCACCTATATTTCCTCTGAAGTACCCATCTTGGTGAATGGGGCCACCATCCTCCATTTACCTAATGGAGTGTGTGTTACCATTTCCCCCTATTCCTTCATCCTGCAGATATAATCAATAAGATGATTCAGATGTTTCTGTGTTCTTAATATTTCCTAAATCCCTCCCATCTCCCCATTTCCATCCTTGATGCCTTATTTTAGGGGTCTATCATTTCTTTCCTACTCCAAACTTACAGTGTTACACTAAGAAATTCTCCAAACTGGAGTGAACTTTCCAAAATGGACATTTGGTCCCTCACTGTGTTCCTTAAAACTCACTAGTGATGCTTCACTGGCCTTGGGATAAGTTGAAAGTTCTTAAGAAGACACATTGACCTCTTACAACATAAGACCTTGCTGGATATAGCCTTCGAACTTCTGCCATGCACTCAAGAGGTATTTACTTGCCCAATGACAAATGATTGGCATCTGTGCTCATTGGAATACTATCCAGTTGTTAAAAAAAAATGAAACAGTGCCTTTGGAGGCAATATGGATGAATACTGTGGTGATTGTGCTAGGTGAAATAAGTCAGAAAGTGAAAGATAATTATAGCATGGATTCTTTCATCTGTAGCTACAAATAACTGAAAAAAAAAAAAAGAAAGAAAAACCTGACAAAACACAACAAAAGTAACTCTTAGATTCTGTGAAATTACAGGTTTACCAGTGGTGGTGGGGGTGGGCAGGGAGGAAGGTGATAGATAGTGCATTGGTGTGGGCGTTTGGGTGGAGCCTACTGCTTGCTGGGAACTGTCCTGCACCCTCAACTCTCTGGACACACCTTTTTACCTCCAGGACTTTACTACAGTACTTTCTTTGCCTGGTATACATTTCTTTTTACCCTATCCACTTACCTGGCTTGCTTCTCCTCCTTCAGAACTTACATCTAAATTCATCCTCTCTTTAGAAACCCAGACTGTGTCCAGTTAGGATTAAGGCACCTTCCTTGAGTTCCTTTACTGATACCATCTCACTCTTGTGTTTTCAACTTGGGACTCATCTATCTTCTCATTATGCTTCAAAGCTGCTGTCTTGTACACCTTTGTGGTCTCAGGGCCTAATCCTGTGCCTGACACACAGCAGAAACTCAGTCATAAAAAATTTAAATGACAGAATTGGATTTCAAAGTCAGGTCTTTTCTTCCTGGCACAAGCCTCCCTTTTTCTAATGCTACTTTTTTTTTTTTTTAACATTTTGATTCTAAAACATTTGCAAACCTCTGCTAGGTATACATTTGATTACCAGTAATTAAAGTTCCCTGTGGATTCAGTTGATTATTTCTTATGCAGTCCTTCCTCACCACGCCACCATTTGCTCATCAAAGTACTTGGGTTAACTAATTTAAAATGACTGAAAGAACTGTCTACACACTTTCATATTCTTTCTACCTTTTACCCAGATGCTTCCACAATACCACCAGGCAAGCAGGAAGAAGTACAATGGGGGTAACTTAGAGTTTATTGACTAGCAACTGACACCAACAAATGGTGCCTAAAGAGCTAATCGTTTCCTCCATGGTATGTAAGAGTAGACATCAAAGTTTCAGTGTTAAATTTAACATTGCAAAATCCAGCTGCAATTGAATTTTTTATGTAGTGAGTTCCATATCATCACAGAAAGTTGTCAGTAGAAGGGATCATAGAGATTCTTTAGTCCAGCACTTTGGCTAAGCTGCCAATGAGGAAACAGACACAGAAGAACTTAAGGGCTCCCCCCAAGGTCATCCAGTCTGTAATGTTTCCCCATGTTCAGTCTCACTTGTCCAGGCACCCTTTTTTTTCCCATCTAAATAAATTAACAACATCAGACCCACCTAACTATTTACATCGTGTTTATTTTTTTATTGCCTCTGCCATATGTTTGTTATAAAGAGGAAGGAAATGAAAAATAAAAGCAGGCTGTTTTGTCCAGGGTCATGGGGGAATTGGTAAAAGAGACAATTAGTACAGAAAGGGATGGCTGCTATTCTGTAGTGTAGCCTTGTAATCACACTCTGTTCTCTGAATGCCCCAATGCTAACCCAAGCAAATCTGTCCTCCTGGGGCCTGCAGGCCATTCAATTCTATGCCTTATTTAGTCTTAATGATTTCCCCGTTTCAATGTGCATTTTGTGTGTGTGTGTGCTTCAGTTTAGAAATATCATCCTTTAATCTACTCTCTACCTGAGTTTGTTTTAGTTCTAATGCTGAGGAATGAAGAATCTAGGTAAAAGAAAGGACGATAGATTTTTCTAGGCTTTACCTTTCAAAAATAGTTCCTAAAGTGGCAACTGGCAGTCGATTCCTCAAAGGATGACATTTTCCATGGGAATTAGAATTTAATTGGGATAATTCATTTCCATGGAAAGCACAGGTTTCTTTCCAAGAGGATCAGTTGATAATGTTTTACCAGCTAGAGCTACGAGACCAAATATAAACCAGTTCTGAGAAACAGGAAGTGAACCTGACTGGTCTAGTCTGCGTGTCCCTGGCAGTGACGCACATACAGAAATCGAATTAGGAAAACAAGATATGTGGGTGTGAGGCAATCGACAATAACCCAAGACACTACAACACAAGCAAGAACGCCTTTCACCAAATGCCATTCATTTTAATAACACCCTGAGAAGTTTGATTTCCACAGAACATGCTAGTGATTAGAGAGCAGGATGAGCTATAGTTCCCTAGCAACAGCATGTGCTTTTGAGACAGTCACTGGCCTTTCAGTTCATCCCACCAACCCCTTACTTCTAAATGTATGATTGACATTAAAAAAAAAAAAAAAAGATGTTTCACAAAGTGATTTGAAATTAGCTTGAGCAAAATGGAAAAGGAATCAAAATTAAAAAGAAAAAGTTGCCCTGAGAATTGCACTCAGTTAAAGGAATCACCCCCAATGGGTAAGGGGCAATGGAGGTGAGACTGTCAGCGTTTCGGGCAGTCCCCTCATCCAACACGAAGCAAGACAGTTTCTTCTGAGACTCATAGGCTGAAAGGGGGGTGAATAGCAGCAGTCTGGGCAATTTGGGTGGAGCAGAAGCTGGGGTGGGGGGGGGTAAGGGAATACAACATAGTTTTCTTTCTTCTTTAAACAGCATAGGTTACTCTGGTGAGAGGAGCTTGGAGAAAGAGGGTGGTGAGGGGAAGTTATTTTTCCTATCGATTGTTTAATTGCACCAGGAGCTGTGTGTCCGAGGCTACTGGCCAAAAGCGTTCTTTTCGAGGCTAAAGTGAGATTGGGCAGGTTTCCCATTCCCCTGGTGTTAAACAAGACAGCCCAGAAAGTGCAGTCAGGCTAGAGGAATATGGAATATGTTGACTTTTGCTAGTCCGCTGCACCCTAAAGCGCCAGGACCTATGCCTCATACACCCTGAATCATTGCCCCTAGCTCTCCCCGGGCTGGGGGCGAACAGCTCCCCGGTGTAGCCTGGGTGAGATGCTGGGCGTTATTCGCATGGTAATTACTGCTGCGTTTAGCTGGTCCTCGTTATGCCAGGGTCCCTTCAGCTGGACAACTGGGCTCCTTCACTTTGGTCCAGGGACTCCTAGTTCTCCCTGCTTCCCCACCTAACCCCCCTGCGCGCTCCCTTCCCAAGGCGACCACCTGCGCCGCCCCACTTACCATCTGCCCCGCGGGGAGGGCCCCCCGAAGTAGCGGAGCCCTCCCTGCTCCCGGGCGGCTCTGGGGGAGCTCGGTGTTTGCCTCCAGCCCTTCGCTACCGGAGAGATCAGGTTCCTCCCCTCCTCCCCCTCCAGCTCCGGCCGCCGCCGCCGCCGCCTCCTTCTAGCATGACACAGCAGAACCGCAGCTGCTGCAGCAAGTCCCAACCATCCGCCCAGGAAGCGCCGCAACCGGACTCCGGCGGGGGGGGGGGTGGCGAGGTTGGGGCCACAGCCTAGGGGGATTCTTGCCTCCTCTTTGTACTATGCACTCCTGTTGCCCAGCCCAGGGGCACGGGAACAAAATCAAGCTAAAGCCGACCAGGCCGAGCCACTGAGGAATGCTGGGGTTTGGCGTCAGAAGGGATGGGACCAGAGGGAAGGGTGTGAAGGAGGTCCATTAGGGGCAGGACACTGCAGGTAAAGAAGGGGAAGAAGAGGCCGAGGAGTCAAGGGCCGGGCTGTGAAGGAGAATAAAGGAGGTCAAAGAGAGGTAAGGAGGAAGAGTTGTTGAGAGGGGAGACTGAGGTGGGAAGAGGGGGTGGGGGGGAGGTGCAGGGGAGGAAGGAGTATGTGGGGAGGCCTAAGGGCCCAGGCAGGAAGGGACCGAAGGCAAAGGCAGAAAAGAAAGGGAAAGGGATGGAGGAATCTGGCATTAGACAGGCAGGTAAAAATTGGGGGACATATTGTGGCTATAGAAGGGAGATCATTCATCATGGCTGATGAGGTAGAAAGATGGCTAAGGCAAAGCCAAAGGAAGGGGTGCGCTTCACCCCACTCTACCTTCCTGCCAAGTTATTCATAATTCCGCCAATCCGTGCAGGGAATTTCCTTATAAATGGAAAGGCATGGGCTAAAACACTGAAAGAGCGATTTAACTGAGATTTACAGGATGAAATCTTGAAGGTCCACGAGAAACTTGCAGGCAGAAGCTCACGAAGGGGCTGTGATTCAGTCGTAAGAGCACTCCAAAGCGACGTGGTCACTTCCACACATCACTGGACTTAGGAAGACTTTCAAAGTGCGTGTTAAATGCTTCAGTTAAGTGCTAGGAGCGTAGACAGAATTATTGTTTCAAAATATCTTTAAAACGCACTCTTTTCTTTTTCTTGCTCTCTTTGAGGGCATATACGTATATCATTTCTATTAGCTAATATGTATGGTATAATTTAAGGGAAAATGTTTCCCTGGTTATTTTCTTTCCTATGTAACCAAACACACTACGCACTTTTCGGCAGACCAGCTGCCTCTCACCCTTTGAAAGAATGTGGTCAGAGAAGTAATGCAAAAACTGCCACTCTGGTTTTCTCTGTATCTTCCAGGTCATATCTTCGTACCTCACTTCCTGACACAAACAAGTTTTCACTGTTGTCAGCAACAAAGCCCTAATATAGCTGCGGAAGAGAAAAACTGCATTGCATTTTACCTCCTGTGAGCCTCATCAACAGTTACCGGAGGAATGTAATTCCAGAGAGCTTTAAAGCTGGTGATGCTGGTAATTATGTATCAAATGCCTGATTCTACTTCTGTTATTATTGTTTTGTCATTTCTTTTTTACCCCAGAGCTGGCTGAACTTGCTGAGGGACAAATCCGGTTTTTCTTTCTGACTCTGTAAAATTTAATCAGACCTGATAGAAGACTCTTTGCTCTTGGGGGGAAATAAGTAGGAGCCACGAAATGTCATTTTAAACAGAGCGTGGGTTTTGTGACTGTAGGGAAGGATTTAAGGACGCTCCTTCTGCCGGGTTTCCTATGTAATGAGCAAAGGCTACGCGCACGCACAGACGCCAGCAGCCCCCGGATGCTGTGGCTCCCTTATCTGGGCTTCTGCAGCGCCAGAAGCCCCTTCGGGATGCCGCGAGGGGCTCTCGGTGGGTGGTGGTTCGAACGCTGCGGCCGCCGCTAGTCCAGCCGCTGCTGCTGTTGTTGCTGCTGCAGTCACGTGGGAGCCCCTTTAAGTTTCCATAGAGAGGCCTCTCCGGTGTCACATGATGGACATGATATAATGAAACAACATTGTGGAGAGGAAAGCATTAGGGGAGCCCACGGCTACAAAAACAAGTGAGTGAGAAGAGGTGGGAGGAAGAGAAACTACGCCACCTCCCCTGCAGCCCAGTCGCGCGCAGCAGCCGGAGAGGAGAAGTGGGTGACGCCGCCGGGGGGCTGGGAGACGGGGTCCTCAGCCCCGGCTAGGGGACCCCGCCGCCCACCGCCAGAGAACAACTTTTAGCCGGCAGCCGCAGCCGGCGCTGCACCTGTCTCCGGAGCTTCCATCGCTCCTCGCGATAACCAAAGGGAAATTCTAGAAGAATATGCTCTACAAATATACATGCGCATCATTTTCCCCTTTGCGGCTCGCTCTGGAGGAAGGAACGAGAAAGGGATTTAAGCGGCAGCGTGTGATCAGCGCCAAGGTAAGTTCTGTAGGTGGGGAAAGTCGGCCCGGCAGGACTTTGGGGTGGGAATTTTGTGCCCCGTGGAGACCTCCCGGGGGTGAACCGGCCGCCCCCTTGCTGCCCGTGAGGCGGATGGGTCCGGTGGTCCATCCGAAATGTTTTTCTCTTTCGGACTCCCGGGGGCCCCTGGCCTCCCGCGGAAGGGGGTCGCCGGTCCTGACCGGGATGTTGGGGAGCCGGGCAGGGGAAGGTAGGGGTGGTGGCGTTCACCGGGAATGCCGAGGCGATTTCGCCATGTTTGTGTTGCTAAGAGCACTTTTTTCCCCTTTGAGGTGGCTTGATGCCACATGGCTGCTCGGGAGCTGCTGCCGGGTGAGAGAGTGTTTTTTTCAATGTCCGCATTCCAGCTAATGTTGCGCAGATAAAATTCAAACTTGAGGTAAACAGTAGAGGAGGAGGAGGAGGAGGAGGAGGAGAGGGAGGGAGGGAGGGGGGGGAGACTGTTGCCATTTCGAGATCCCACCTCTTCACTCCGCGGAGACCAACATCCCGAACCTAGAGAGCACTCGCTCCATTCTCCCACGTACCCCACCTTTGCTGCCGGTGAGAAATTAGGCGGGGGGTGGTGCTGCTTCCAGAGGACGCGGCGTCAGAGGAAAAAACTCGCCAGGCACAGGGGCCTCGGGCCGTCTCCCTCTTTTCTCGGGAGAGACGGAGGATGCCTCTGATTGCTCCGGAGACAGCGCTCCCGGGCGGGGCCGAGGGGGTGCCGGTCTCCTTTCTCTCCCTTACTTTGGGGTGTCGGACGGTCCTGGTGCCTCCCCACCCCCGGAGCAGGTTCTAGAAGGTCTGGGTGGGTCGCCGGGTTTCCAGAGGGCGAGTGGCGTAGCAGGTGTGGGGTGGGCATTGCTATTTTCTTAGTCCCGAATTTGGTGGGACGACGTAGAATCTTGCCGAGTGCCTGGGCCGAGCTGCGTGGTTTTTTTTTTTTTTTTTCCTTTTGCGAAATAGAAGAGTCGAGACTTTTCCTAACTGCGTTTTTAAAGCGCCGATTCAGCTCGCAGCCAGGCTGACGGGTGAGTGGGGCTGTTTGAGGGTGAGGGTGAGCTTCGTCATGTGGAAAACTAGGGTGCTGACAGCTGGTGTCTTTTACTCCCCCCCCACACGCGAGGGAAGAGGTGGGCTGGGTGGGCCGAGCGGGGTGACGTCCCGCGGGGTGGGAGCAGCCTGGGGTGCTTTAGTGCGCGAGGGTGCGCAGCTCCGGGGCCGGGAGGCGGCGGCCACGTGAGGGTGGTCTGCGGAAGCGCCGGAGGTGGCCGCCGGGGTGAAGTGCGTAGCAGAGTCGTG